GGTTCATCACTGGGCCGTACTGGCTCGCCTCATGTTGGAGTTCACGCAGAGGATCGGCGGTCTGCGTGCCGTAATTCGGCCCCCGCGACTCACCTTCCAGAAGCGGCGTAGAGGTTGGGCTCATACCCTGTTGATGAGGGAGCTCCGCATGACTTCCAGTGACAGCTGCATTCAGCGACATGGCCACAACACAAACGAATTGGAAAGCGTTCCTTTTCAGCACAAGCAAAGGACTTCTGGATGATTCGGCTGAAGCTTTAAGGTTCTGCCTGCATGGACTACTTAAGCTCTGCAAAAGTCTGTACTGTCCACGCACGTAGTGCCGGGCTTAGCCTTTACAGCAGCAGAAGTCACACAACAGATGCACAAGGTGGCAAGCAGAGCTTCAGCACCTAAACCCTTAAACCCTTACACCCTAAACCCCTAAAGCCCTAAAACCCTAAAACCCTAAACCCTTAAACCCCAATACCTAAAACCCTTAAGCCCCAACTCCCTAAACCCATCAACCCCAACTTCCTTTCAACCCTAAACTCCCAGACAACAGGGCCGCCACACGTCGCCTCGCGTGGAGCTCTTTCCGGAGACCCGGCGCGAGGCTTTGGCATGGTGGCTTGGGGTTTAAGGGCTCTTAGGGTTGAGGGTTAAGGGATTTGGGGTTTAGGGGCTTAAGGGATTTGGGGTTTAGGGTTTAGGGTTTAGGGGATTTAGGGTTTAAGGGATTTGGGGGTTAGGGTTTAAGGGATTTGGGGGTTTAGGGTTTAAGATTTAGGGGATTAGGGGTTTAGGGTTTAGGTTTTAGGGCTCCTTTAAGGGATCCTTGTAGGGGTGGAGGTTGAGGTTTTCAAGGGTTCCTTTACAGGGCATCCCTAGGGGTTTAGGGTCGAAGGGTTCCTTCAAGGGATCTTTAGGGGTTTGGGGTTTGAGGTTCCTTGAAGGGATCCATAGGAGTTAAGGGTTTAAGGGTTCCTTTGGAGATCTTTAGGGGTGTGGGGCCTCCGGTTCCTTCAAGGGATCCATAATAGGAGTTAAGGGTTTAAGGGTTCCTTTGCCAGATCCCTATAAGTTTTTGGGGTTCAAGGTTTGGGGTTAAGGGTTCAGGGTTTAGTGTAGGAGCCTGATGAAGAAACCTTCTGTCTTCATTAGGGCTCTCTCTATGGATCCTAATATGTTTTGGTTATAGGACCAGGCTTTCTTAATCAGGTTCCTACATTACCTACGCCCTCCCCCTTTTTTTAGGGTACCTACTTTTTTATATAGCTGATCCCAACCATAAAACTAGGTACCTTAGAAAAAGGTGTAGGGTATGTTCCTACATTTTTGCTTTTGGGACTTTGGAGACCTGAGGCGAGCTCCGCGTTGAAAGTTTGAAGGTTCCTCCTCTGAGGGGCGTCTGTTTCAGGGCTCCTTTAAGGGATCCCGTCAGGGTCCTTGAAGGGTTCCACTGTTCTTTGTTTTTGTGTTCCGAGTTTAGGGTTTGGGGTCTAGGGTTGGGTTATGTTTAGGCATGTGTAGGGGTTTGGAGACTTCTTTGCCACCAAACCCCACGCCGTCAACTTCCAAACTTCCCATAGGGTTTGGAGAACTTTATGGAGCAGTTCTAAGTTATGATAAGGTCCCTTGGCGGAATAATTCAGGCTGGTACAGTTTCCGTGTTGAGTCCATGCCCGGCGCAGCTTTCCGAACATTCGCCATACAAATTCGTGTAGAATAACCAGACATGCAAACGACCAAAGTTCGAAAAATGATGTGGAGAGAGAGAGAGAGAGCGAGGCGCACATACATACATTCACACACACACACACACAAAAAAAAAAACACACACACGCACGCACGCACACATATACACACACACACACAAACACAAACACAAACACACACACACACACACACAGAGACACACGCAGAGTTAACCAAGGGACCTAAATAATTGCCAAAACTATTTTGGGGTTCCTTGTTAGAATTATAGCATAATGGGCGCCAAAACCCTGTTCTAATTAGCAAGGCTCCTATATTAGTCTAAATAAATTCAGCACCCTCATCAGTTTCGACAGAAAGGCGCAGCCACGGCGGCCGCCTGTTCCACGCTTTCGGCCGGACCGCGCGGAGACCTCGTGCCCAGACAGCGAAACATGGTTCATGGTTTTGGGAGCCCTTCCACGGCTTTCTATGGTTTCGGTATGTTGTGGGTTTAGAGGCTTGTGAGTGGCTTGTGGAAGTGTGGAGGACTTCGACGCTTTGTTTTGAAACAGAGGGAGACGAGCGCCAAATCCCTTTGGGACTGCAGAGCGTTCTCTACTGCGTGTTCTTTTTTCTGGGCCCTTCCTAAAGCAAACGACTACTGAATAACTCGTGGCCAAAAGCGAGTAAGCCCTAAACCCTAAAGTCCTGAATTTCGAACCCCCCCCCCCCCGTTTGTGCCGGACTCCCACAGTCCCACAAGCACCAGGGTCCTGAGCACATCTTCGCGAGAGCTGAGCTCAACACCGAAGCGGCGGCTGGAGACAGGGGTGGAAATCAGAAGCAATGCCAGTAGACTATGGAGGCCCAAATGTCAGGTTGCCAGCATTACAGTCGTGGTTAAGGGGTTCTTGAGGCCAACTGTCGGGCAACATAGTACCAAAACTCGACTCCAATTGTTCAACCGGCCCCTATATTAGGTTGCAGTGGTGGAGTGAGAATGGCAACAATGGCAGAGAACGTGGCGACACAATTCCTAGTAACAATCGTAATATCATCGAGCTGCCATCGAAACAGTACCCGAGGTGACGCATGAAGGGCAGGCTTGTTTCTAGGTTACACAGTCGCGCATGGAGGGTAGATTTCATTTCAGGCTTCACCGTCGAAAGATCGGCATCGACTCTAGCATGACGGGGTTTAGGGTTTAGGGTTTAGGGTTTTTGCACCACTCCCAGTCGTCTACGCTAAGTCGTCGGTAATTCTGACCAGGTATCTTCCGAGACAGTAGCTCGCTTTGGTGCACCACCATGACTTGCCACTGTCGCTATCGGCCAATATTCTAGGTCCATAATATAGTTTTAGACAAGGACCTATACAAACTAAATCCTTATTCTGATTGCTACAGGCTCCTAAATTTGCACTGAATGTTGGAAGTGCCTGACATTCCTAAACCCAAAACCCTAAGTCCTAAACCCTAAACCCTCCCCGACCGTTATCCTTGGCGAAATACCGATTGAAGCAGCAGCTGTTGTTGCAGCCATCGTCGTCGCCGTTGGACCCGAAGCCCCCAACCAAAAACCCATATCTCAAAGCCCAGCCCAAAATCCTCAACCGCCAGATCCTAAGCCCCAAGGGTTTAGGGTTTAGGGGTTTAGGGTTTAGGGTTCTAGACCCTAAACCCTAAACCTTATAAACTTCAAACCCCAGAATCCAAACCCTTTGTCACGCGGAGGAGCTCGGGAAGCTGGGTGTTGGCTTCACAGGGCGCTGGTCTGCAGGGCTCCGGGACCTAGGCCGGGAGAGCGATTCCGTGTATTTGCTTTTGGGTTTAGGGTTAGGTCTGGGCTACGGTATAGAGTTGAGGGGTTTAGGGCGCAGGCTTGCGGAGTGCGTGGCACAGGGTCTACGGCGGGTGTTGGGCTTGGGGGTATCGGGTTTTGGGTGTAGGATTTTGGCAGGGTGCACAGGGTCATTTGCTTCAGCTGCCAAGTTTGACTTCTGGTGGTTCCCGCAGCCCGGAAGCTCAGTCATAGATTACCCTAAACCCTAAACCCTACACCCCAAACCCTGAACCCTAAACCCTAAACCCTAAACCCTACATAGATAAGATGTCCAGAAAGCTTCTCTTAGGGCTTCACCAGAGCCAGATGCGAGCTTTCTGGGTTTTCCAGGCTTGGAACCAGGAAGCGGGAAGAAGGCCGGTCGGTTCCACGACCGGGAGATGCTTGTTCGGGTTTAGGTTTTCGGGTTTAGGGGTTTAGAGGTTTATAGGGTTCAGGGTTTGGGGTTTAGGGTTTAGGGTTTAGGGTTTAGGGTTTAGGTTAGTAGGTCCTTGAAGAGCCCACAAGAGACTTGAACTCTGTAAAGGCCTAGTCAAACAGACAAGTGCTCGCAAGAGTGAGACTGACTCCCGCTGCTGTTGTTGTTGTTGTTGTTGTTGTTGTTGTGGTCATCCTCTTCTTCATGGAAACCTGCATGTAGCCTGGACCCCAAACCTTAAACTAGCATACCCTCATCCCTAACACCCTAGAACCTAAACCTAAACCTGAAACGAAAAATCCTAACCCTGAAAACGAAACCTTAAGCGAGAACGCCACACAGGTTCTTCGAAGGACGAACAGTCCGAGCGCTTCGCCACAAAGACTGCCGAGGTCAGGGTTCCCGGTTTAGGGTTTAGCGGGTTATAAGGGTTTAGGGTTTAGGGTTTAGGGTTTAGGGTTTAGGGGCATTGCAATTTTCTCTGGGACGGGTTATAAAGGCTGTAGCTTCACATTGGACACAGGTTTAACGAGCCATCCCGAGTAATTAGGCATCCGTACGGACCATCTCTCTTTGCTCGTCTGTGTATCCTGTTACATTCACATTAAATGTCACTGTTGGTACATGCCGATGTTGCTGTTGTCTCGGTTCTGCCGGGAATTCATTAGCTAGTAGTTTTGATTACATCTCTTGTAGTCCCTCCTAAACTATTGTCGTTGTTATTGTGATCATGATCGTTGTTCTATCTAGTGACGATCGTATGTATTGGTCTCCGCCCACTGAACGACTAAGGGCTTGTCGTAGTTCAGCGAGGAGAATGCAAAGATCGCTGGCTCGATGTTATTTGTGAGGAGAAATGAATCGTGGCCAGTGGCTGACAACATGGCTTTATATGAGTTTTCGGGCATGTGTGAGTGTCATGTGCCATGAATACTGTTGCAGTCTAAGTGCTGTGTTGTGGCTGACAGGAGCTGCATCAAAGCCCTAGGCCCCAAACCCTAAACCCTAAGCCCCTTGAAGACTTGCCAGCATTTTGCTGTAGCTGGATTAGGGCAGCCAATACTGCAGAGGTAGAGACTGTGAGAGCTCAAGTGCCACTAGACATGGGCGAGGAGGTTCCGAGTGCACAGCGTTTCGCTGCGGCTTGGATCCATTTTTGTTCTGCGACTCTTGGGTCGCCTTTTTCGGCAAACGGACTGACGATAGCACAGTTTCCCAGCAAGCTCATGATAGCTACAGATGAGG